GGGCGGGGGATCTCGGGGTCCCCCCCACTCACCCCAGCAGGGCGAACGAGAGCAGCTCGGGCAGGTCGAAGGGGAACTCGACGCGCCAGCTGGTGCTGAAGAGAACGGCCACCGTCTCTGGGAGGCACCAGGGGGGACAGTTAGTGTGGGGGGCCGGGTCCCCCATCTTCCCCGCCTGGCCCTCAGCCCCTAAAGCCCTGCGATGTGGGCCCCCTGCCCCGTTCCCCATTTCTCCAGCCCCCCACAATCCTCTGACCCCAGGTCTCCCCCCACTGCCCCGCCCCTGCACCCCATTTCTCCAGCCCCCCACAACCCTGTGACCCCAGATCTCCCCCTCTCCATCACCCAATTTCCCCAGCCCCCCAAAACCCTCTCACTCCAGATCTCCCCCCACTGCCCTCCCCTGTACCCCATTTCTCCAGCCCCCCAAACCTCTCTCCTCAGATCTCCCCCTCCCCCATCCCCCATTTCCCCAGCCCCCCCACAACCCTCTCACCCCAGATCTCCCCCCTGCCCCCTCCCCTGCACCCCATATCTCTACCCCCCAACCTTCTCACTCCAGATCCACCCCTTCCCCACTCCCCCATTTCCCCAGCCCCCCACAACCCTGTGACCCCAGATCTCCCCCTCCCCATCCCCCCATTTCCCCAGCCCCCCAACCCTCTCCCCCCAGCTCTCCCGGCCCCCCATACCGCTCTCGCCGTGGAGCAGGGGCAGCAGCCGGAAGGTGAGGGCGGCGCAGGTGGCGGAGAAGAAGCCGCGCCAGTAATCGCGCAGCGCAAAGTGCGTCCCGGTCGCCTCCACGGAGAACAGCACCCCTGGGGGGCGGGGGGGTCAGCCGGGAACCGGGCCCCCTGCAAGCCCCCCACACGCCCTCCTCGGGCCCCCTCCCCTGAGTCCCCCCGTGTGCCGACCACCCACGGGCCCATCATGCACCCCCAGGTCCCTCCCATGCCCCCCCAGTCCTCCCCCGTGCCCCCGGTCTCCCCGTGCACCCCCAGACCTCCCCCCATGCCCCCGGGTCCCCCCGTGCACCCCCAGACCTCCCCCCATCCCCCGGGTCCCCCCATGCACCCCCAGACCTCCCCCTGTGCCCCCCAACCACCATCTCCCCCCAGTCATCTCTGGGCAGAACAGCACCCCGTGGTCCCCCCCGAACCGTCTCCCTCCCCACCCCCCTTTCTCTGCCCCTCTCCCAGGCCCCACGAGTGCTTTGGGGTCACTCACCCCCCACGGGGGCCACGAAGCAGCAGGCCACCCCCACGGCCGCCCCAGCCACCAACATCTCATACTTGCGGGCCGGGTTCTGGGGCACAGAAATGGGGGGGTGAGAGGTGGGGGGGGTGCTGGGGGCTGGGGGGGTTGGGACAGTTTTGGGGGGCTGGGAGAGGAAGAGGGGGCCGCTCGGGAGTGGGGGAGGGGCCGGGGAGGGGCCAGGGGGAAGTTTTTGGGGGGGCGGGGGCAGCTCGGAGGTGGGGGAGGGGCCAGGGGAAGTTCGGGGGGGGCCGGGGGCAGCTCGGGGGAGGGTAGGGGAGGGGGAGGGGCCAGGGGAAGTTCGGGGGAGGCGGGGGCAGCTCGGGGGTAGGGGCGGGGCCGGGGAGAGGGAGGGGCCGGGGGAAGTTGCGGGGGCTGGGGACACCCCCAGACTCACCTCCTTGGTCCCAGCGACTCTAACCATCACGCGGCCGAGCTGGGTGGCCAGGATCGTGGCCATGTGAACGAAGGGGCCCTGGGAAGAGAGCCGGGGTCACCGCAGCCACCCTGGATCCCCCCGATCCCCCCAATTCCCAGTCCCCCCAATTCCCCCAACTCCCCCCAGATCCCCCCGATCGCCAGCTCCCCGATCGCCCAATCTCCAGCCCCCCAGATCCCCCTAACACACCCAGCCCCCACCTCCCAGATCCCTACCCCCCAATCCCCCACCCCAGAGACCCCAGCCCCCCAAATACCCCCAGACTCTGACCCCCAGAGACCCCAGCCCCCCCAGCTCCATGCACACTCCCCCATCCCCCAGATCCCCCTAAAACACCCACCTCCCAGATCTCCGCCCCCTCAATCCCCCCATCCCCCAGAGACCTAATCCCCCCCAACTCCCGCCAGCCTCTGACCCCCAGCCCCTCCCAAGGACCCTCCCACTCACCACTTTGCCTAGGAAGATGGTGCTGCCGGCCCCCAGGGTGCAGATCACCCCGACCAGCTTGGCCAGGCCAGTTCGCAGGGTGAAGAACTCGCTCAGCACGACTCCCCGGAGCGTCACCTTCAGCTCGGGGATCCCGGAGCCTGGGGGGGGGACGCGTGAGAGCCCCCCACGGCCCGGGGATGGGGGACCCCGCAGTCACACCTCCCACGGCCCCAAGGACCCTGAGTTCCCAGCCCCCCACAGCCCGGGGATGGGGGACCCCGCAGTCACACCCCCCATGGCCCCAAGGACCCTGAGTTCCCAGCCCCCCACAGCCCGGGGATGGGGGACACCGTGTGTACATCCC